AATAATACACAGATAAATACTACAATATAAATAAATAATACATTGATAAATAAATAATTAAATAGTTAATTAAAAAAGCTACATTAGTTAAAAAGCAATCCCCTTAGGTAATATATATATATATATATATATATAAAAGATAAAAAGAATAGGGTGGAACTTCTGGTTTGCCATCACCGCAGGGGGTCTAACAACATCCGGAGGGGAGAAGCACGCGTCGGGAGGACAGGAGGGACCTGTTAAGTTGCAAGTCTTAAAAAAGGTAATCATTTTAAAATGTGTAAAAGAGATTTAAAAACCATCTGATAAAAAGGAGGCAGACCCATCACTGACATTTTTCATTGAGGCCTGTAGGGTCTATCGTTTTGAGGCGATGAACCCACCTCCTCTCCGCCGCCCGTCTCTGTGCCGTGGTCCAGCTCCCGCTGCTCTCCAAGCCCAAAGACTGGAGGTTCTCTGGGCCGTGGAGTTTAAAATGAAGGTAGAGAACGCTCGTACCGTCACCGCTGTTGATTCTATATAAATGTTGTTTTATCCTGAGGCTGATTTCATGCCACGTCTCCCCCACATAGAGCTTGTGGCGGGCCCTGCACCTGACGGCGTAAACCGCGTTCTTGGTTGTAGGTTGCAGGGCCCGCCCGAGGTTAGCTCCGAGCTTTGAGAAGGGGTTACAAATGTGGGGGAGGCAGATGAAACCAACCTCAGACATTCGAGGTGCCTCCCTAGCCCGAACACTGTTATCATTTAGCTTAGTGTGGACTAACAGGTCTTTCAGGTTCTTGTTCCTGTGGTAGGCGGAGATCAGCCGACACTCCCTCAGCGCGTCGCAGTCCACCCTCGCCCCCTCGAAGTTGGCTTTGAGGCCACTGAGGAGGCTTCCCAGGCTGCTGGAGTAGGTAGTTATCAGCGGGATGAGGGCAGGACCGGACGGCCCAGTGGAGGTGTCTTGATATCTCTCAGTAAAGGTACGGCCGACCTCCGCCTTGACGGATCTCAGGAAGCGCCTTGAATAGCCCCGCGGCCTCAGCACCCTGAAGAGGGTCCAGGTATAGCCTCCTACCCATCCTTCGCGAAGGTACAGATCCTGTGGAAGTGGATCAGCTGGGATTTGATTAAGCCTCTGTACGTATGCTTTGGGTGGTAGCTGGTCCTGTGGAGGAGTGCATATCGGTCCATGTTTTTAAAAAACACTTTTGTGGACAGTGTTTTGGTCAGGTCGCTGGATTCACGGAAGAAGACGCAGGTGTCCAGGAACTCTACTGTGAGGGGTTGAAGGGTATGTTTGAGTGTTATTTTAGGGTGATGAGAGTTGAGTGTGTCCATGAAAGTCGTGAAGTCGTCGGTGGAGTGGTGCGATAGGCCGAAGATGTCATCCAGGTACCCGACATAAAGGAGGGGTTTGAGGGTGAGCTTGATGAAGGCCGTGTCCTCCCAGTGGGCCAGGTAAATATCTGCATATGCCGGAGCATACTTGCGGCCCATAGCACAGCCGCACAGCTGGAGGTACTGGTTACTGTTGAAAACAAAATCATTCCAGGTGAGGGTGAGGTGGAGTAACTGGATGATGTGACTGTCGGGTCCGGCTGGGTTGGGGTATTTATTGAAGGTGTGTTGAAGGGCAGAGAGCCCACGTGGAGTTTCTATATTGGATGAAGTCAAAGGGAATATGTTGAAGTTTAACGAACTTTCGGATGATTTTAAAGCCATGCGCAAATGTTGGATGAGAGCGCAAGAAAAGAGGACGATGAGAAATGGTATCAGCCGAGATGTACGCACATAATCACATTCCTTGCCAAAGTTACAAAATGGATAAGCGACATAGAAAATGTTGATTCACTCAACTTGTCTCAAGTGGAAGGTCTGCCAGCTGAAGAAGTTGAATATGCAAATGAAGGCGGCGGTCTGAGCGAGGTGGATACACACTCAACGAGGTCTATAAAATCCAGCCACTCTTCCTCCTCCTCCTCCTCACTACGCATCAATGCTGAGGCAGAGCGAGCAGCCTTATTGACCAAAGCTTCTATCTTACAAGAAAAACATGCCATTGAAGAACAGGAACAAATGTTACAAAAAAGAAGAGAAACACTAGAACTACATACAGAAATAGCCGCCAACACAGCCAAAATTAATTATCTTAAAGACAATGAATTAGCCAGGCTTAGCCCTGTACAGGCTGAAGCAGCAGCTATAGCACTGGTAGATACACAGCCAGATATTTCACTTCATCCTTATGACAGAGGTGCTCCAGTTGTTAGGAGCAAGGCAGGCGCCCCACTTCACTTTCCCTTTTTTAATGTCCGTGAAGATAACACTCACAGTTGGCCCGATGTTCATTATGAAGACAGCATTAAGGATCAGCATCAGCCACAACCAACCTCAGTGCACAATATTCCACCTGTCATACCCCAAAACACACAGCCAACTCTGCCACAAGGACAAAGCCCCGCTACGCCCAGCACAGCACAGGATGACCACATGATTCTAATCAAAGCAGCTTGACGAGGATTCTGTTGAAACAACAACTTCTCTCGACGCTGCCGCAAGGAAATATTCCACCCTTTGATGGACACACTCTGGAGTACAAGTCCTTTATTCACTCATTTGAACATTGTATTGAAAACAAAACAGACAACAACAGAGACAGGTTGCAGTTCCTTATACAGTTTACCAGAGGCCAAGCTCAGCGGCTAGTCAAAAGCTGTGAATACATGTCTCCAGGCAGAGGCTATCAGAAAGCAAAACGTTTACTGAAGGAAAACTTTGGGAACGAATACAAACTCTTGTGCTTACCTGGAAAAAGCTCTATCCTGGCCCCCAGTTAAATCTGAAGATTCAAGGTCGCTGCAGGATTACGCCATGTTTCTAAGGAGTAGCTGCAACACTATGGAGGAAATGGAGCACTTGGAGGAACTAGACACAGTGTCCAACATGAGAAGCATTGTGCTTGAGCTACCATACAAGCTCAGGGAGAGATGGCGCAGCAAAGCTTACGCACTGCAAGAGGAGCGCAGTCGTAGAGTAAGGATTTTAGACCTTGTCTATTTCATTGAAAGGCAAGCTCGCATAGCAGCAGACCCAGTTTTTGGTGACCTTCAAGACCAGTCAGCTGCCAAAGGAAAGGTGGCTGTAAAGACTAGATTTCCTGTTAAGTCGCAGATCTAAAAGGCGTATGACAGCCGTTTTGCCACATGTGTCACTATTTCCCCAAAAGAAACAGAGCCTGAACCCTAGGGGTCGGACATAGGGGCCGGAGAACAAAAGAATGTGCTGTCCATTGTCCCAGTGCAAGTTAAGGCAGCAAAAGGCAGTCAAGTCTTGCAAGTCTATGCCCTCCTGGACCCTGGTTCCACCGCTACCTTCTGGACCCTGGTTCCACCGCTACCTTCTGGACCCTGGTTCCACCGCTACCTTCTGGACCCTGGTTCCACCGCTACCTTCTGCTCCAAAGCACTAATGTCTAAACTCAATCTGAAAGGCAGAAAAACACATATTCTGTTAAGCACAATGAATCAGAAAAACTGGTGCCATCTCATGTCATACCTGGAATTGAAGTTTCAGCACTGGACAGCGACAACCTCTTACCTCTTCCTGACATTTTCACCCAGAAAGAGATGCCAGTCACCTCCAGTAGCATTCCCAACCAGAATGACTTAACGCAGTGGGCGTACCTGGATAAAGTCAAACTTCCCAGTATCAGTGCAACTCTATTGGGGTGGGTTGTAAATGGGCCACTCAGAAATGGTGGTGAGGGCAGTACGGTGAGAGTGACTGTGAATAGGATATCAGCCACAAGTTTGGAAGAGCTTCTAATGTCACAGTACAACCAGGACTTCAACGAAGTGTCATCTGAGGAAAAGCCAGAGATGTCAGTTGAGGACTAAATGTTTTTTGAAAGTAGCCAGTGAGGCTAGCTACCCTGCAAAACGGACACTACAGTCTAAAGTTGCCGTTCAGGAAAGCCAATGTCAGCATGCCTAACAACCGCCAAATTGTAGAACAGCGCCTGCAGGGCTTAAAAAGGAAGATGAAAAGGGACCAGCACTACAAGAAGAAGAAGAAGATACACTTTATTAATCCCTTACAGGGAAATGTCTTTGTCTCTGATGTGTTGTGGAAGGGAGTTCCAGAGGGTGGGGGCAGCGATGGAGAAGGCTCTGTCCCCCCAGAGGGTGGGGGCAGCGATGGAGAAGGCTCTGTCCCCCCAGAGGGAGGGGGCAGCGATGGAGAAGGCTCTGTCCCCCCAGAGGGTGGGGGCAGCGATAGAGAAGGCTCTGTCCCCCCAGAGGGTGGGGGCAGCAATGGAGAAGGCTCTGTCCCCCCAGAGGGAGGGGGCAGCGATGGAGAAGGCTCTGTCCCCCCAGAGGGTGGGGGCAGCGATGGAGAAGGCTCTGTCCCCCCAGAGGGTGGGGGCAGCGATGGAGAAGGCTCTGTCCCCCCAGAGGGTGGGGGCAGCGATGGAGAAGGCTCTGTCCCCCCAGAGGGAGGGGGCAGCGATGGAGAAGGCTCTGTCCCCCCAGAGGGAGGGGGCAGCGATGGAGAAGGCTCTGTCCCCCCAGAGGGTGGGGGCAGCGATGGAGAAGGCTCTGTCCCCCCAGAGGGTGGGGGCAGCGATGGAGAAGGCTCTGTCCCCCCAGAGGGTGGGGGTAGCGATGGAGAAGGCTCTGCCCCCCCAGAGGGTGGGGGCAGCGATGGAGAAGGCTCTGTCCCCCCAGAGGGTGGGGGCAGCGATGGAGAAGGCTCTGTCCCCCCAGGTTCGGAGCTTGGTTTGTGTGGGGATAGAAAGGAGGTTCGCTTCTGATGCACGAAGGCTGCGGGAAGGGGTGTGGTGGTGGATCAGGTCGGTGAGGTAGGGGGGGGGGCCTGGTTATTGAGAACTTTGTATGTTAGCAGAAGGATTTTGAAGTGTATTCGTTGACGGACAGGGAGCCAGTGCAGGTTTTGAAGGACGGGGGTGATGTGGTCTCTGGAGAGGGTGTGGGTTTTGAAGGACGGGGGTGATGTGGTCTCTGGAGCGGGTGTGGGTTTTGAAGGACGGGGGTGATGTGGTCTCTGGAGCGGGTGCAGGTTTTGAAGGACGGGGGTGATGTGGTCTCTGGAGCGGGTGCAGGTTTTGAAGGACGGGGGTGATGTGGTCTCTGGAGCGGGTGTGGGTGAGGAGGCGGGCAGCGCAGTTCTGGATATATTGCAGTTTATTTAGGATGTTGGATGATGAGCCATACAGGATGCTGTTGCAGTAGTCCAGTCTTGAAGTGATGAATGCGTGGATCAGGGTTTCAGCAGCCGGGAAGGAGAGTGAGGGGCGGAGGCGGGCAATGTTTTTTAGATGGAAGAAGGCGGTCCTGGTGATATGGTTTGTGTGTTTATCGAATTTGAGCTGGCTGTCAAAGATTAGTCCAAGGTTGTGAATGTGAGGAGAGGGGGTTGGTGAGGTTGAAGTTCTGGGTGGTGTTGGTGCGGGATGTGGGTCCGATTATGATGATATCTGATTTGTCGCTGTTCAGTTGAAGGTAGTTTGTTTGCAGTTGGTGAGTGTGTAGTGAGTTGTGGCAGTGATGGTTTTTGTGTAGATGTAGAGTTGGATGTCATCGGCGTAGCAGTGATACTGGAGGTTGTGGCGGCGGATGATTTTTCATCCGCCGAAGAGGAGGGGACCAAGCACCGAACCCTGGGGGACGCCTTGGGACAGAGGGGCAGTGGAGGAAGTGCAGTTATTGATGTGGATGAACTGGTGTTTGTTGGTGAGGTATGATTTCATAACCCTGTCAGAGAGGCTGACTGCTGGCGATCCTCAGAGACTCCTGCAGGCAGAAACTAAACTTCTTCTCCTGCTCCGGATCCTTCACAACAAATGCATTAGGAGACAGGAAGCTCCCGGCCTTGCAACTCTTATCCAGCTAGTGTGTGGTGACGATGGGGATTCCTTTAGCCACGGCACACAGGAACTTGACGGTCCTGCGCACCTGCTCAAAGATGCTCACACTTCAGATCTCCTACTACGACACATCCACGAACGCTCTGGACACAGCGGGAGAAACGACATGCTTTCTGTTGGAGAAATACTGTTTTCTCCACTCTTTGGGTTGTTTTAATACACTGATATCATGTGTGGCTCTGAGACGTGTACGGCCTTGCAGCTGCCTCTTTATGATAACAGAAGGCAGAGCATTTCAGGTTGTTGTTCTATTCTGAGGAGACAGGCACATATTTGTTGTCTCCTATATTATCTCACATTGCTGGGAGTCCAGAAGTCGCAGATGACACATCCAGTTGTCCCATCTTCCCTTCACCTATGGCTGACATTCCGACACCCGCAGCCACCGTCCTTTTACGGCTTTACTCTCCGTGTTTTGGGACTATATACGCCTGAAGTTTTTTGCTGTTCCTTTGAGCAACATACCTCATGTGTGTGAGTTAACCCGTATCCTTTGTATGTGATTTAACTTCTTGCAAGAATAAACTAGAACCTGATCATTGATTCTCAACCTGGTGTCGAGTGATATTTTTCTAACATATTGTTCCTTCGAGCCGGATCCAAGATCTCCTTTTTTCTCCCAGCGAACGAGCCTGACACTGTGCACAGGGAGTCAAGAGACTCTTACGAAAAGACCCCTACCTTGTTTCCTTTACAAAGAAACCATTTGGTAAATAGGGGGGCCAGGTTACGCTGGAGAGGAGAGGAGTGACGGATCCTTGAACTACCGACACAGGAGAGAACGTCAATACAGGCACCGTTTTGGTTTCAAACCCAAAACCCAACTTTTAAATGGTTTGTGGGTCAAACTAGAGGCCAGTTTTATTAGTTTCGGAAAAAACTAAAGGATCTTATAGTTCGAGGGTGGACTATAGGGTACATTTTCTTAGTTTTACTAAAACTATTGTGAGCTTTATAGTAGGATACAAGGTACGACTATGTTATAGTGGGTTACTAGGTACGACTGGGTATTTACTTAGTTTTGGGGAAAACTTTGACAGTTTAGTTTTCTTAGTTTTGCTAAAACTATTGTGAGTTTATAGTACGAGGTACGGCTATAGGCATTTTACTTAGTTTTGGGGAAAACTAGGACAGTTTAGTTTTCTGGGTTTTGCTAAAACCGTTGTGAGTTTTGTTATGCGTAGACTATAGGGCAGTTTTACTTAGTTTTGGGGAAAACTAAGGGAGTTTTATAGTTTGTGGGAGGACTATAGAACAACTTTTTCTTAGTTTTGGTAAAACTATAGAAGTCTAATCATGGGTTCATGCTGCAGTGAGACCCGTGGGAAGAAGATAGAAACAGAAATAGTCATCATATCAGGAGATGCTAAATGGATGCAGGTGAAGCACAGAACGAGTGTAAAGGGAAAGGGAGGTTAGGGTAGAGGAGCCAACAACTGATTGATAGCATTGAGAACAAATGTAACGGGAATGGAAAAAGGGTGGAAGAAGAGGATTTGTTAGGGGCTATGATGTGGTTAGCCGAAGCAAGGAATAGAAGGGAAGGACATGAGAGAGAGGTAGAGAGGAGACGGAGAGAAAGGGAAAATGCTGAGGAAACAGCATTTTCAGAAAAAGAGAAATCAGAAAATGAGGTTTTGTATAACTTGTATCCTAATCTCCCCTATTCCGAGAAACTGGAGAAACTTGACGATCAAGTTGTATGCAGACGCCGCCAACCCCCTCCTCCGTATCTCCCTCCTGTGGGACCTGCTGTGATGCAGGAGCAATGGATAGATGAAAACCATGCACCAGCTCAACACCTCGGGGATCTCCTCGGACCCCTGGCCTCCTGCTCGTCTCACCCCTCTGCTCCCCCACCGACTCCGCTGCCTCGGCCACCCGCTCCGCCCTACACCTCCACACACCGACCCTCATGCTCCGCCCTACACCTCCACACACCGACCCTCATGCTCCGCCCTACACCTCCACACACCGACCCTCATGCTCCGCCCTACACCTCCACACACCGACCCTCATGCTCCGCCCTACACCTCCACACACCGACCCTCATGCTCCGCCCTACAACCTCCACACACCAACCCTCATGCTCCGCCCTACACCTCCACACACCGACCCTCATGCTCCGCCCTACACCTCCACACACCGAACCTCATGCTCCGCCCTACACCTCCACACACCGAACCTCATGCTCCGCCCTACACCTCCACACACCGACCCTCATGCTCCGCCCTACACCTCCACACACCGACCCTCATGCTCCGCCCTACACCTCCACACACCGAACCTCATGCTCCGCCCTACACCTCCACACACCGACCCTCATGCTCCGCCCTACACCTCCACACACCGACCCTCATGCTCCGCCCTACACCTCCACACACCGACCCTCATGCTCCGCCCTACACCTCCACACACCGACCCTCATGCTCCGCCCTACACCTCCACACACCGAACCTCATGCTCCGCCCTACACCTCCACACACCTACCCTCATGCTCCGCCCTACACCTCCACACACCGACCCTCATGCTCCCGCGCAGAGAACAGCCGGCATGAGGGGGGAACCCAGCAACACACGGTCAGGTAAGACATTCAGAATGCCCGTTATGCCAGTTATGAATATATCAGGGAATGTGACTGATTTTCTGAATGTGGTGAAATTGGCAAACAAAATACAAATAAAAAACAATTGAATAATGTAGGACTTTTGTTGCTGTCAGTTAGGGGGAGAGTAGGGGCTCAGAAAACTGACATCTGTATTGTTTCATCGTTTTTTCCTTCTAATTTTGTATTCTTTTCTAAACCACACACTGTTATTTACACAACAATAAGACACCATTATCCTTGTGTTTATTTATTTGTTTGATTAATAAACACAAGTTGGAGTCCGTCAGGACCGAGGGTCGGAGCAGCTCATAGTAGTTGCTTTAGAGAATTTTACACCCGGAAGTAAGTATTCTCTCCGCTTCGCTTGACAAACCCGAGCGTCGAACAGCACTTTGAAATGGGATGGAACCACGGCAGACTGTCCAAAACTGGATTTGAACGCACCCCGTCCCCCCTCCCCCAAAAAAAACTTGGGTCGCAGGTTCCTCAACAGTTCATTACAAGACATCTATCGATATGTGTGTACCTCCACCATTAGACTGTCATATTCTGCACATTTCTTATTCTATATACATACATCTTATAAGAGTTTAATACATATGTATAATATCAGTTAAAATAAGTGCTTCAACATAGTTAACATTGCAGGAAAGTTGATTGTCAAGTCCCAAAACAAACCATGCAATATATTAGACGTTAAGTACTTTGTCAGGCTTAATATAGATACCCCCAAAGCTTTGTTCTCATTCAAAAGAAGACCTTAACCTAAAGTATTCTTTAAAGTTTAAATAAAGCATTATTAGTTTGTCTGTTTTGCACATCCTCCTATTAATATCTTTGGACGTCCTGCACTAAACTGTTTTATTGTAGAGATCACTACAGTATCTTCTTGATATGTTCTATTCTATATTTCTATCATTGACCTTCTACTTTCCCCCTATGAAAGTATGTCTCTTTCTCTCCCCCTCTCTCTCTCCCTCTCTCTCTCTCTCTCTCTCTCTCTCCCCCTCTCCCCCCCCTCTCTCTCTCTCTCTGAGTGACAGCCATGCACATCACAGGTGTGATCTGGTCCGTCTTCTTTTTGTGTTCAGTAGTTTGATGCCACGTCTTCAGATAAAGGTGAACAGTTTATCAGAGACAGCATTTGTGCTCCTGAGTCTCCTACTCTGTGTCTCTCTGAAGAAGAATCCGCTGATCTCAGGTTTTCTCAACAAACAGCAGAATCTCTGGTGAGTTTCCTAAACATCTCAAACACACTGAATACTTCTGTTGGAACCACAATCTGATTTAAAGAAATCTCAAAGTAGGACTAGTCTTTAAGGAAAACCAGAACTAGGATCTCATCTAACGTCATTTAATTTGTCTTTTTACTTGTGTATTGTATGTTTTTGATTGTATATTGGTACTGGTACATTTTCTGTATTGTTTACCTGCTTGGGGACCGCGGACGCACATTGCATTTTATACAGATACAGATCATACTTCTTTCTGAAATCTTCCAGTTGTTTCTTTTTTGTTGGCCGTTAACATTTTACTTTTGGTGATATTACTTTGATATTATGTCAACAATACTTTTGATAACTCTCTTCTTATGTACAGTGGTGCAGGGTTTTTGATCAATGTCGTAGAACAAAATGTAAAAAAAGGAAGTGCCAAAATGCTGAATCATTTGTTTTAGAACTCATTCCTGCGCCACCTTTTGGCATATACTACCTTGTTCTTATATAAAGTAACAGAAACTTAGACGGTGAGGAGGATCAGACAACTTGTACTTTACTTTGGTGGAAAAAGTATTCAGAGTCTTTACTTCAGTAAACGTACCAATACGATTAATATCAAAGACTACTTTCACAAGTAAATGCATTTTAAACCAAACTTACTCTCACTTTGAAAGTATCAAAAGTAAGGGGACTAATTTAGAAGGAAAATGTATTTCATATGTGCTCTATTATAATATATGACATTATTGATTGTTAATATTGTTGTAACAATTAGCATTTTACTTCAGTTACTTACTGCTTATTGTAATCTACAGATGACACACACTGCTCCTCTTTGTGGAGTAAAGCATGTTCCCTTCCTTCCTGCTCTCAAACAGAGCCAGCTACCCCCTCTCAAGGTATGTGATCATGGTTCAGGTATGAACAAACAACATGCTGGTAAATGCATATGCTGCTTCCTCCTTCACTGCATTAACCTGGTTAACTCGTAGTTCTGGACTTTGTGTGTGAAGTAATGTGTTTATCATTAGACTGGGCCAACACTTTCCCTTTGACCCTGCTCAGAGAGCTTTATGCTGATGTCACTGCAGTGAGTGCTGTTTTGGCTGTTTGGTTGTTAATTGTTTAACCACTAGATTCAGTGAGGGTTATCTCACCGATCTCCATTCAGAAAACTCACATTTTAAAAGGTTTTTCGCCTGCCGTCTGTCTGCAGACTTGTCAAAGCATTAATTCAAGGTTTTTACTAACCGGTATCAGTATGTTGTTACTTCATCATTTTGAAACGTGTATTACAATTAAATCACGGTCAAATATGTTCATCTTGTTGTAGTTGTAGCCCCCTTGCCAGCGATTCTCTCTGAACATTCAGCAGTCGAGAGTGTTTACGTCACTAGTTTAGCATACTCAGCCCGGTTGTTGGCCCGGTAAGAACCTTGATTTTGGAGGGCCAGAAAAAAGTGAAAAAGTAGCCCTGAGAAACCTTAAACCGTGCTACGTGCTGAAGTGGAAAAGTGCCATAACAGGGCTGGAATAGAGGGATATGAGCAGGGGTGCACATAACTTTTTTAGTGAGTTACTCAGATGAGTACCAGGAGACAGCGTTTGGTACTCACCCCACATGAAGCGTGGTTTTAATAAGTGCAGTCTTCCTCACTGTCCTCCTCAGTGTCTCCTTCACTGTCCTCTATTTACACTTCTTGCATGCTAGATGATGAAGATGCACCTCCCTGTCTCTTTTTAAGCCTCCGATTTGCTTTCTCCAAAACTTGTTGCCAAAACTGTGAAGTCCTTGCATTTCCTGAGGCCAAGTTGAAGGATCAAATACTAAGAAATTATCACATGACTTGTAGTCATATCTGATTTCAGAGGAGGGAAGTAACAAAGTACATTTATTCAAGTACTGTACTTAGGTACAATTTATGCTACTTTGTACTTCTACTCCACTACAGTTCAGAGGTAAATCATGTACTTTTCCTCCACTACATGTATTTAATCCCTTTAGTTACTTCACAGATGTGGATGAATGATGTGAAATATAATCAAGTGTTAAATCAGACTTTAGTTCCACCTGGAGTAAATTCACAAGCTACCCTGCAGTAGCCTATACAAAGTCATTCAAACTAATTTTTAAACACTTTAATGATCAATAATTATAAAACATATCATATACATTATTATGAAATGGACCAATCTGCAAAATGACTACTTTTACTGTCGCTACTTTAACTAGGTGTTGATGATAATACTTTTCTAATTTTACTTGAGTAACACTTCATCCACCTAACCCTGTCTGATTTCAAACTCTTCCATTAACAGCCTGAGTAAGTTTGCAGGCAGCTGTGTGTTTACTCCACTGTTGTAAATAAAACTGCAGCAGCTTGACCACAGAGCGTGAACGTTGTGATCAGCTGATTTTGCGCAGTTCTCCAGTGTGTGCGCGGGGCACAGAATGTGCACAGGGGAGTCTCCCACTGCAGCCAGTTGATGTAGTTTTGGTACAATTCTGTTGTACACACCGACGTTAACAGCAGCCCCGTCTGTGCACACGGCGACCAACTCTGTCGTCCAGTGATCTAAGCCTCTTTCTCCTGTGAAGCTTCACAGGTCCGTCGGTTATGCCCTGCGCGGCACGGCCAGCACCCAGTTCAATCAGTCATAGAAAGTCCGAAGATTTTTGCAGGGAGCGAAACGGCAAAGTGGCTGCTTAATGTCTTTGTTTTTTTTGGACATGTCTAATAATTTACTCCACTGAGTGTTGACAAGAAACACGTATAGACGAAATATGTGTTTTTGTATGGGCTCAGAACAGTCTCATAATACACACATGCACACAGAAGGATTCACACTTGTATTTCATGATCCGCAAAAGGATTCACACTTGTATTTCCGGATCCACACTTGTGTTTTTCAATGCACACACAAATGTGTTCCGTTTCATATACATGTAAATAAAATCCAAATAAGAAAAAAGTTTTACATATGTATTTTTGATCCTCACATATTTGTTTTCCGTTTAAAACCGCTGCACCTGCAAACACAAACCGCTTTCTGTGCATGGATCGCTCTGCATTCGTGTGTGGGTTTTTTGAGACTCCCCTGACGGTGACCCGATTCGTACTTGTAATTTTTTCTATCTATAGCCAATCAGATGTCTCCTCAATTCTAAGCCAATCACATGAGCGCGCCCCCACAAGGGTAGATTTCTTGCGTTCATGACGTAGCGCTTCATGTACGCATTTTGCGCTGTCCGGAGCTGACAGGTCCATGGAGCCTGCCTGCAGGCGCTAATCTCAGGACACCTCCACTCTCAGTACATTGCCACTTTCCGATCAGGAAATGCACGCAAATACAAGCCTTTATATTATTAAGGTACAGTGCCACTTTCCGAACCATTAATGAATGCTTGTGTACACAAAAACGGCAGGCAAAACTGTTTTAAATGTGTGTTTCCTGTATGGTGATCAGCTGCTTTATTTATGTCTGTATGAAGTTGTTGTGAGTGTGGAGGGAGCAGCTACAGGTTAGCTTAGCCTAATCGATCAGTGCACTACGAAGCCAGTGCTAGACAGTGAACTGTCAACGGGGGGAGCCCCGCCGGTCATTATCGGCCGATATTCACTCTTAATAGTTTGATCGGTGCTCTCTATAAAGGCCGATCAGGAGAGCTGGATCTGATCGATATGGACATAAACGCGAGTGAAGTTTTAGCGAGCTGCATGAGAAACTGACGGGCTGTCAGGAGAGAGGGAGGGAGAGAGGAAAAGAGATGATCCTTACTCCCGTGTTATTATCCGGTCATAGTCCGGTAATTACCTAACGGAAACGCTGCTACACAATTCTTATTATTATTATTATTGAAACATGACCGGTAAGTTTCAAATTTGTCCGGTAAAATTAAATTCTGTCCGCGGAAACCCTGCTCCGGACTACGCAAAATGCGTATATGAAGTGACATGAACGCAAGAAATCTACCCTCGTGGGGGCGCGCTCATGTGATTGGCTTAGAATTGAGGAGACATCTGATTGGCTATAGATAGAAAAAATTACAAGTACGAATCGGGTGACCGTCAGGGGAGTCTCAAAAAACCCACACACGAATGCAGAGCGATCCATGCACAGAAAGCGGTTTGTGTTTGCAGGTTCAGGGGATTTAAACGGAAAACAAATATGTGAGGATCAAAAATACATATGTAAAACTTTTTTCTGTATTTGGATTTTATTTACATGTATATGAAACGGAACACATTTGTGTGTGCATTGAAAAACACAAGTGTGGATCCGGAAATACAAGTGTGAATCCTTTTGTGGATCATGAAATACAAGTGTGAATCCTTCTGTGTGCATGTGTGTATTATGAGACTGTTCTGAGCCCATATTTTTGTTTTGATGACCTATCAGGTACGCAAAGGCGCGTTGTGACACAAGTGACGTTACGCATTTCAGATTGTTGCCGCGCATGCGTACCTGCGTACCAGTTATGTGCACCCCTGGATATGAGGGATTCTAAAATACATGATCTGTTTGTATTTTGAGAAAAACACATCATAGACATGTTTTTATATTTTTTTATATATCTGAGACCCATAATATATGCCTAAAAATAGCATGATAGGTGCACTTTAACACATGTGCACTGTTTTCTTCAATATTATTCAATATACTTTTTTTTTGGTTAATGCCCACACACTTTGATCTTGACTTTGTCTTGATGTGTCTTATCTGGGTGAAATAACAGCATTGTGGTCTTCAAATGTGTTTAAAGTTTTCTCTTTTCTCTTGTCTTTTTAATTCTGTAAATTCTTTAGCCAAGTTCTGGACAAATACCAGTGATTATAATGTGGAGAGGGTATTAGTGTCCGGATTAGAGAGCTGAGGGGTATGGATTTACCAGATGAATCGGAAAAGACATAGGGATCAAGATAGGTGCCAGTCTCTTTTGATTGATCTGTTGGCCCGTCTTTCTGTCTGTTTCTGCCTCTCCAGTTGGTTTCATGTCTTGCATTTCTCTATCCTTCTGATCCATCCATTCATGTTTTCCTGTATAAGTCTTTATTCTGCTTTCTACTCATCTATTGCTTAATCTCATTCAGTTACTGGCCATTATCATTCCTGCAGTCATTTGTATTTGGTTCACTCTTTTGGGGATTGAATGAAAATGAAAGGTTTTTCACTTGTTTTGTTTCAGTTGTCAATTCCTACACCAATCTCATCAATTGAATTCCTATTTATTTTTCCACTGTATTGGATGCCTATATTATGTAATACGTGAGAAAATAAATGTGTATAGATGTTGTCTGTCTGTGTTTTACCACTGCTATTACTCTGCTTTCACAGGCTGCTTACAGGATGTTTCATTTACACTGTACAAGCCATAACACATAAACCTTTGTGCCGGGAGTCACTAATGTGATTATTCTTTCCATTATATCTATTTAAAGTGGCAGAAACATTATTCAATGTGTTATAATTAAGAACTAACAGCTTAGTTTGGTGTGGATTTGACACAAACACCTGTTATCAAACAGACACATTTTGAAGAAGCTTGTTTAGCCCCATCCAGCATTTTCCACATGGGTTGGGACAGCTCTTGGGCTTTTCCAAGTCCTTGTTTAAGAAAATAACTACAATCCATAATAACCTCTCCCCCACTTTGTATCTCATCAGTTATTTCAAGAGGAAGATTGTCACCAGCCTGACCATGCGCCAGCTCCCAGAGGCCCTGTCCCAGGCAGGCCTTCAGTTTTCTGGGGCCACTGAGGAGGACTTTGATGAGATCATGGGCATAAGCCAGGGTATAGATGGAGGCCTCGACTACCTGCCCACGAGATACACCGACTGGCTGCAGGAGACCAACCGCACCGTCATATTGGCCCGCAAACAGGGAAAAGTAGTAAGTTCAATCAAAATATTTGATTGTGAGTAATATAATAACTTATGGATATAAAAAGCTGAATTCTTGAATTACAGAAGTCGGAAAATAGTTTTCTTATCCAAGACATTTCTCTGTGCAAAAGTAAGAGTTTCATGACTTAAAATGAAAAAGGTAAAAATTACATTTGTCATAATTAAGGCCATTCCTCGTTGGTTTCATTTCTCAGCAACTGCGTTTAATAAGCAGAATTCTACTGGGAACTTTCCATTTTCCAACTATCCAAGAACACACTGTATTAAAATGAAACAATTGCGAATGACTGGGAGTCACCTTTGTCCTACTTTGGAGACTAACTGCCATTCTAATATGTCCCAGACCAGTCTCTCTAAAGTAGAGCCCACCAATGTGATTAACCTTTCTAACGTCCAGCAAGACAGCAATCGAGAAAAACCTCGTAGTAATGGGGGGTTACTTGGGTTAGGAACTGTTTATATAATTACTGAATTTTAAATCGTAACCTGTACACGCCAAGCACTGATGCTGACATGTTGTATGGATAGAAACTATGCACTGAGCTCTTTGGTGGCACTTTCAATTGGTAGTAGTTACTTTAAGTTACACTGCATACTACACCAGCTTTGAGTATTTAGGAAGACTTCTTTCTTTTCTTTCTTTTCAATGACATTGAAAGTGTTTTAGATAACTTTCAGTGACAGAAGGCAAAGTATCCAACATATCCTGGGTCATCCCAAGGTATTTTCAGTTCAAATGCATAATCTCTTTAGCTATTCTGAGTTTTTGGGGTTCTCCTTCCAGTTGGACATTCCCAGAACACAGTAACAAAAGAAGGTTTCCAGAAAACATGCTAATAAGATGCCTGAAAGATCTCAACTGGCCCCTTCTAGCTCCAAAGATCAGTGGTTCCAAGCTAAACTTCGTTGACTGTTTACAGATGTTCTGGTTCTGGTGGTACATGAATTAGTCTGCTGCCATTGCCACACAGAAATTGGCTCATGTTTCATGCTCTGATTAGCATGTTCTTGTTTCCCAAATCTCTTAGACATTTAAGATCATTCATAATTTGTCAGCTCCAGACCAGCTTCAGAAATGGTTCTAAAAAGGACATGTCAATGATTTTCTTCGCATTTTTTCTTTTTCTTTTTCTCCTCAACAGATTGCTCTGGAGTCAGTGTTTGTGATTGACGATGGGGAGACTATGCTGGTGCAAGCTCTACGCGTCGCCCCTCAGGAAAGGGGTAAGGGTGTGGTTGGGGTTCTGCAGCGCTTTTGCTCTGATCTGGTCAAATCCAAGTTCCCTGATGTCAAAGTAACCCGCATGACCCGTGATCAGCTCGGACCAAAGGATTTCCAGAAATATCGCCTCATAACCAAGCAGGTACAAGCAACAAGCCTTTCTATGTATCGGCTTGTGCTTTATAAGCCTCAATTTAAGTCCGTTGGTTACACTATTGATGTAACTATATACGATATAGTCCATGGTCAGCTCACGCATTGGCTTTCTTCTCTATAGGGTATTCTCCTGGTGCGCTTCAGGGCTGAAGAACTCAAGCTGCGTCTGTCTGATCTTGGTCTTGGAGATATTCAATCTTCTTTGTCCACCTCCTTCAAACCTCCTCCAGTGCGTCTCGACAATACAGCCATCCGCCGGCTGTATCTGACCTCTGATCGGATGCATGGGGTCCTTCCTAACGCCACCATCATTGAAGAGGGTCAGCCATTCAAGCTTCTACCCAGTAACATGGCTATTCTACTGAAGAAGGACATTGACTGGATGGTCGATGATGTGGCCAACCCTACTGTGGCCAGCCTCTGTACATTCCCTTACAGGGTGCCCATTGGAGATGACTGGTAACTCTTCTTTCTTTCTTATTATAATAATTTCAATTCAGGGACAACTACTGTGCAGAAAAATATGCAATAATGTTGTCTTACAATAATACCATTGGTGCCAGATTTGATAATTTGTTATATACATAGTGGTTTTAACCCTCCTGTCATGTTCGGATCAAATTGGAATGATTACTTCTTTCATCAATCATAAATATTGTGTGTTATATTTGATTGCGTCAAGACCTTATGATATTCTCCACGGTCGACATTTGAACATATAAAGTTGCTGATCACCACTTTCTTTGAATTTTGAGTGGTTTAGTTAACTTTGTAACAATGATGGTGTTCCCAGTCAAAAATGACCACCATAGGAAATGAATGGGTAACGTCTAGAGTATGTTCATCCATCAGATAGTACACACCCATTCATGTAAACCAGAAGTCTGAGACATTGTTTGCATCTTAAAGGTGGGGTAGGTAAGTTTGAGAAACCGGCTCGAGATCGCTAGAATTTGAAAATACACAACCGGAGAAAATCTGCCACTTCCTTACAGAGCCCCTCCTCCAACACACACGAACGCGCACATGACCAATGAGGGATTCCCAGGAACACCAAAGTAAGGGGGGAGAAACAGACACGACAGGAGGGTTAAGATTTCCAGAAGTTACTTTAGAACAAGAAAGTATTTTCACTCAATTGACTATTTGTATTTACACTTCTTTTAAACCAGGTATTCCCTGAACATTAACATGTTCGGTAAGGAACTGGATCCTGTCCAACAGCAGTTCCTGTGCCACCTGCAGCGCCACACTGCCACTCTGAAGGGTCACGTGATGTGCCAGGTGTTCCTGGACCCCCCACTCTGGAAGCCCATGATGGAATTCTGCCGCAACATCTTGAACGTGGAGCTGGTGAAGGAGTACACCCAGCAATGCGTGGTGGAGTCAGACGTCATGTAGCTACGGGAGGTGGATGGAGAGGAGTAGGAGACGTTGGAGCCAGAAAGGACTAAGGACAAGGGGCAAAACAACTCAATTACACAAAAAACACAACCCTTTGTAATGAGGAGGTAGAAACCAGGCAAACAAAATGTAGGTTCTTCAAAACAAAACTGGTAGCGCAGTTTCATTTAACGATACCTAAATTCTGATCGGATATGATAATAATTCATTGTGAAGCCAAAAAGGAGTAGATTTTAGATGCCCCACTTTAAGACAAAAGCCCTTTGCTAACATTCTGCTTTGGTAGCTCATATTCTGGATTTCCCTAAAAAAACAATTACTCAAATATTTCCCTATAATATTCGTAAATGATGTATCTTATGCCCTTTTAAATAGACAATTAGACTAGTTTCATTTAAAATGCTAGAGATGGTTTCCCAGTGGTAGGAACCAGTTTATTTAGTGTGTGAGCTGATCATTTCCATTCATTCATCCTGGTTTCAGTCTAAGCAAGTCCAATTATACTTTCCATTAGCCGCAACCACTAGCTATTCCTGGGGGATTCCAAGTAGGGCTGTGCGATTATGGCAAAAATCCTAATCACGATTATTTTGGTCAATAATTGATATCACGATTATTAAAAACGATTATCCATTTACTTTGAAAACATCCATTTATTGAAACAAAAATGTGAACAGTATGTTTTTAACAGTTGATTACCCTGAACTTTAAGTATAATTCAACTGAAAAACCAAAAAAATTAAAAAATATAATAATTACATTTTTTTTTTTTTTTTATAAAAATAATAATCGTTTTATTTCGATTACGTTGTTTTCGTAATCGTTGCAAGCCAAAATCGTAATCGAGATTAAAATACGATTAATTGCACAGCCCTAATTCCAAGGTATTCCCCGATGCGATGACCTTTGTATTCAAATCAGAATGACCTTTGTCTGAACTGGTTTCTCCACCCAATTGAACATGCCCAAATACCCTCTAAAGAAAGGTGTTCTTGAGGCAGGGTGAACCAGGTCAACTGATTCTGTTTTAGGTGAAGGATTGGCTCATAGAGTCTTCCAGGTGTGTAGTTCCTCTCCCTTTTTTCTTTAAAGGTGAGAACAGACACCCAGTGCTGCTTGCATCGGCAATCTCATTCCTTTCGGTCGTTGCTGTTCATTCAGGGTTAGAGTAGATTGACTGGTCTAGGGTTAGGGTTTTGGGGTAACGCGCGGTGCTCCGTAGGAGCGCAGCGTGGTGCACGGGCTCTCGGGTCAATATTTTTTGTTTAAAAATTCCTGTAATAAAACCAATACAAGTTTATAAAAGCCCTGTCTGGTCTGTGTTTAAAATGTTTTAATAAAGAAAATGCAATAAAAGGGATCAAAAAGAGCAGCGGCTGAAGCACAGAGCGTATGCAGCGGGGTTCAAACCTGTACTCCTGCCCCCCCGAGGGGGTCCCCCCCGGTAGAGTGTCCGAGGCTGTGTCCCACAACATCTGGTAAAAGACCTGGTAAGTGGATTAAAAACATCTGGCTAAAAGTACCGAGGTTGACCTTGCTTAAAACCGGTAGAATTAGTGTGAAAAAATGATAAATAAATACATAAAAGTGCTTTTAAAAATAAGTGCTGGTCTAATATAAGATCAAATATATAAAATACACACGGGTTAGTGGGCACACGGGGAGGGAACATATTCTAAAACAAAGTCAACCAAGTGTCCCTAAAAGTGTTAAAACCCAGATCGAGGTCTAGAGGGGGGGTGCAGGCGAGACATGGGACACGCCTCGGATGATGTTTAGAAATACTTTATTAAAGGGTTATTTCAGGGTGTTTCCCTGCGGGGGGCTCCAACATACATTTACAATCAAATGGAAAGTAATAACTAATATATAAATAAACTAATACAAGCAATGTTTGAATAGGAAACGGGGGATTAATAATATATAAAAGGATAAAAGATATAACCTCCTCATTAGGAACCTAATAAAATAAGAACACATGCAATACACCGTGCAAGCATAGAATAAACTGTGACTTAAATGTGTGATAAAATATAAGAAAAATATATAAAAAGGTAATAATAATAATAATAATAATAAACAAAGAAACCCACGCATTTAAAATTCATAAAGGAGTCCAGATGAGGAGGATTTATAAAATAATAGGAAATATGTATAAATAATACACAGATAAATACTACAATATAAAATAAATAATACATTGATAAATAAATAATTAAATAGTTAATTAAAAAAGCTACATTAGTTAAAAAGCAATCCCCTTAGGTAATATATATATATATATATATATATATATATATATATATATAAAAGATAAAAAGAATAGGGTGGAACTTCTGGTTTGCCATCACCGCAGGGGGTCTAACAACATCCGGAGGGGAGAAGCACGCGTCGGGAGGACAGGAGGGACCTGTTGAGTTGCAAGTCTTAAAAAAGGTAAGTAATCATTTTAAAATGTGTAAAAGAGATTTAAAAACCATCTGATAAAAAGGAGGCAGACCCATCACTGACATTTTTCATTGAGGCCTGTAGGGTCTATCGTTTTGAGGCGATGAACCCACCTCCTCTCCGCCGCCCGTCTCTGTGCCGTGGTCCAGCTCCCGCTGCTCTCCAAGCCCAAAGACTGGAGGTTCTCTGGGCCGTGGAGTTTAAAATGAAGGTAGAGAACGCTCGTACCGTCACCGCTGTTGATTCTATATAAATGTTGTTTTATCCTGAGGCTGATTTCATTCCACGTCTCCCCCACATAGAGCTTGTGGCGGGCCCTGCACCTGACGGCGTAAACCGCGTTCTTGGTTGTAGGTTGCAGGGCCCGCCCGAGGTTAGCTCCGAGCTTTGAGAAGGGGTTACAAATGTGGGGGAGGCAGATGAAACCAACCTCAGACATTCGAGGTGCCTCCCTAGCCCGAACACTGTTATCATTTAGCTTGGTGTGGACTAACAGGTCTTTCAGGTTCTTGTTCCTGCGGTAGGCGGAGATCAGCCGACACTCCCTGAGCGCGTCGCAGTCCGCCCTCGCCCCCTCGAAGTTGGCTTTGAGGCCACTGAGGAGGCTTCCCAGGCTGCTGGAGTAGGTAGTTATCAGCGGGATGAGGGCAGGACCGGACGGCCCAGTGGAGGTGTCTTGATATCTCTCAGTAAAGGTACGGCCGACCTCCGCCTTGACGGATCTCAGGAAGTGCCTTGAATAGCCCCGCGGCCTCAGCGCACTGAAGAGGGTCCAGGTATAGCATCCTACCCATCCTTCGCGAAGGTACAGATCCTGTGGAAGCGGATCAGCTGGGATTTGATTAAGCCTCTGTACGTATGCTTTGGGTGGTAGCTGGTCCTGTGGAGGAGTGCATATCGGTCCGTGTCTTTAAAAAACACTTTGGTGGACAGTGTTTTGGTCAGGTCGCTGGATTCACGGAAGAAGACGCAGGTGTCCAGGAACTCTACTGTGAGGGGTTGAAGGGTATGTTTGAGTGTTCTTTTAGGGTGATGAGAGTTGAGTGTGTCCATGAAAGTCGTGAAGTCGTCGGTGGAGTGGTGCGATAGGCCGAAGATGTCATCCAGGTACTGGACATAAAGGAGGGGTTTGAGGGTGAGCTTGATGAAGGCCGTTTCCTCCCAGTGGGCCAGGTAAATATCTGCATATGCCGGAGCATACTTGCGGCCCATAGCACAGCCGCACAGCTGGAGGTACTGGTTACTGTTGAAAACAAAATCATTCCGGGTGAGGGTGAGGTGGAGTAACTGGATGATGTGACTGGCGGGTCCGGCTGGGTTGGGGTATTTATTGAAGGTGTGTTGAAGGGCAGAGAGGCCACGTGGAGTTTCTATATCGGTGTATAAGGAGTCTATGTCTAAAGAAAAAAGAAGGGTGTGACTGGGAATGGGGAGGTTTTTTATTTTATTTACAAAATGATAGGTGTCCTGGATGTAGCTAGGGTGGAGTTTGGAGAGGGGATTGATGAAGTGATCTATGTATTCTGTGATGTTGTAGGTTTCAGACCAGAGGGGACCGTCCACGTCTCCACAGGCTTGTGGATCTTGGGGAGCAGGTAGAAGAGACGGGGCCTGGGCTCCTCCGGACCATCCCGATATTGTCTTTTGTTGATGGATTTGTTTCTGTAATGTTCCTAACTAGTGTTTGTGTTTCTAATTGTAGTGAGTGTGTCAGTGGTCTGTAATATGTGTTGTTATTTAATTGTCTATGTGCTTCTAATATGTAATTGTCCCTGTCCTGTATGACTATTTGCCCCCCCTTGTCTGCTGGTTTAATGACTATGTGTTGGCTGTTACCTAATGTTTTAATAATATTTCTATGTTCCTGACTAATGTTGGGTGTACTATGTGGAAGGGGGCGCCAATGTCTGAGTGTGTCAAGGTTCTTATTGATGAGTTGTGTTATTTCAGGTGTTAATGTGTCAGTGTATGGTTCCCAGGTGGACGGTCCGGTGAACGGGACAGGCTCCCGCCCCTGGTTGTTTGAGCTCCGGGGAACCAGGTGCTGGCGCGGAGACCCTGGTAGGTTGAGAGGTGGATGCCTCAGATGTTGGGCTTGAGGTCATTCTGACTTTCATAGAGCCCTTTATCATCATTGATGTAGAGTTAACATCCACTTCAATGCTCTTGGTGGCTTCACAGGGCTCTGCGACAAACAACTCTGGGTCCCTCTGCTGGTGGTGTGGTGGATCTGAGGGTGAAAAGGATGAAATGGTGTTACTGCATGGCAGAGGGACATGGCTGAAAAACTGTGTCTGCTCTGAGAGGTTGTCTGTAGTCTGGGGAGTGGGTGAGGAAGGAGGGGAAACGGAGGGGCAGGCCAAGGGTCCGGCCCGGGTTCTCCCCAAACGGTCGAGCACCCTCTGAGAGAGTGGATGGATTTCTACCTGTACTCACCGTCTGGGGTTACGCTGAGGTAGTGGGGTCCGGATTGTCATTAGGTGAAGAGGGTTTTATGAAAGCTGTTAACCGGTTGACTTTGGTCATCATTCCCTGTGGAAAAGTGATTTGCTGAGTGTGTTATTGAGGATTTCTGCGTGATGAATGGCCTGTAATAATGTGAAGTATCTCTTTGTTTGTGTCGCTGTGTTGGATGGGTGTTAGCCCCTAGGGGGAGAGCAGCGGGAGGGTTACTTTTAAAACTCCGCTGCCTCCCCCCTCTAGGGGCTTGAGTCAGTGCTGTGTATCTGTTAGTCAGTGCTATAATCATGATGCTGCGGAGTCAGAGGATCTCTGGAAGGGAATCCCAGCTGATACCTGCAACCACAGGGCGGAGAGTGTGTACGCCCAGCGGAAGGCACAGGAGGAGGGCCCAGACAGGTGGCGTAAAAACAATGGCGGCGATGGGACACTGTAGTGAAAACAATATATAACAGAAGGGTTATAGGCATACTCGCCAACCCTCCCGATTTTCGTGGGAGACTCCCGATTTCATTGCCCTCTCCCGGTTTCCTCCCGGGGTCATATTTCTCCCGCATTTCTCCCGATTTCTGACAAAATCAGATTTACTCACGACTGTTTCCACTCAGACTTTAATACAGCTTTGTTTGGTTTCCATGGTAGCGCGCCTCTTTAGCAGCGCGCGCAACTCAAAGTCTGAGAGGGTGAGGAAGATAGTCACAGAAAACT